TGTCAGTCCTGCCCCTAGCCCCGGTGCAAGGTACATCTCACCGCAGCACCTCTCCCCTAGTGCCTCCGCCTGGCTGCGTCCCGGCAGCTCTGCTTGTGCTCCTCAGTGGGAAGCCCAGAGAGCCCCAGGGCTGCCAAGCTTGGCTTGGAAATGATCCCCAGCCTCCTCTCCAACCCCCAGGCACCCAGGCCCCGGCATGGCACGAAACCAGCCTCGCAGGTAGCGCGTCTCCTCATCTCTCTGGGGAAAGGATTAGACCATCCGAGGGGTGAGTGGAACGACCTTCTGCAGCTTTCACAGCCCGCTTCTCCCCACTGGAGATCGGGGGAAAACTGACTGAGCTCCTGCTGCAGACTGGGGAAGACCCCGGCTTAGACCCCTCTGTCCCTCTACTCTGCCAGACAGAGGGGTCTAAGCACAGCCCTCCGTTCGCCCCCCCGTGCTCTCCTGCGCCTGGCCCCAGAACCAGCTCGGCCTGACCAGACATGCCAGGGTGCAGGGGACACTGGCCATCCTGCTGAAGCACTCAGGCCTGGTGCTGGCAGGGGCAGGTTGTTAGACTCACAAAGAGGTCTGAATCTGAATACAAGTCCTGGAGGTGGATCCAGACCAGGAACACTTTATCCAAATCCCCTTGAGTTGCATAGGCTGGGTTCACACGGAGTCAGGAGCCTTTGCAAACCCAAACCAGAGCCCATCTCTGCTGCACCCGGGCGCAGAAGTTCCAAGCAGCGCTCAGGTAAGGAGCCAGTGGTACAAACCTTTTATTTGTCAAAGGACAGAAAAAGAGACACATGGTGCTGTGTACAAAGGAGTCCTGGGCTGGGCCCTGTAGTGTCGACACATGGTTGGGGTACAAAACGCACGCTACGAAGGCCCAGCTCCGGGAGAGGCGAGGCGAGGCCCCGGGCCTGCGCTGGGAGAGCGGCAGGTGCCCGGCAGGGCTAAGTGGGATGGAGCAGGCCGGTCCATTCTGCGCACGCCGGCCGCTCCCCAGAAACCAGCTGCCTCACAACTCCCTGAGATACGTATGGTTAAAGTTCTTCTGGGCTGCGGCCGGCCCCCCGCCCCCTGGCCTGAGGGGATGGCGCAGGGCTGGCCTGGCACGGGCTCCTGGGGTGGAGCAGAGGGCAGGGTCCCCAGTGGGCAGGTTAGAGAGCCAAGGCAGCCTGCTGCAGTCACAGCACAAGATGGGGGGGGGGAAGGAGAGAGAGGCTACATGGCATGATAGTGCAGAGACCTCATAGTGCCCCCACGCCAGCCAGGGCTCACTCTCTGCCCCACCGGGAACAGCTTGGGCAGGGGCTTTATTTGCTCATTGCCAGGAGCCCAAGGGCCATGCCTGGCAAATGGGGCAGGCCGTAGTCACCCTCCCTACTAGCATAGACCTGTGCCCCACCCCAGCATAGCGTGTCCCCTTCCCCTCTGCTCCGGGGTGAGCACTGCATGCTGGGACTTGTAGTCTGTACGGGCTACAGCTACAAAGGGAAGGGGAGGTGGCCCACAGGGCTACACAGGCTGCGTCCAGCTCTTGGGCTCTGCTGTGACGTGACCTTGGAACCCTGCCCCCCTCCCCCGTCTTATTCACGCTCCCACCCAGCATCCCCCCTCCCTTCTCTGCTCTGCCCATTAACCTCTCTACCCTCCAAGCCCCCCGGAGCCGCTGCCCTGGCTGCAGCAAAGTTCACAGTTCCCAGGTGACAAGACAAGGAGCTCCTCAAACACCCTCCCATGCCCGCTGGCCTGTGCCCTCTGGGAAAGGGCCCCCCCCAATCCCCCCACTTCAGGAAGCTGGTATCAGACCTCAGCCCCCTCTGCACCCATCCTGCTTCTACGCAGCCACATGGACTGGTGCAGAACCCGGAGAGGCCAGGGCCTGCCTTGGTTCCCTAGCCGCTCCCTGCCACCGGAGCCCCATGTCTGGGAATGGGAAACGCACCATCCCTCTGGGAGGGCGCTGCTGGTGATCAGAGTTTGAACAAGTTCTTTGGCACGAGTAAGTGGGAGGCCCCTAGACCAGGGCGCGCTCGGTGCTCACTCCCGTTTAGTCCCTTCCGCCCTGAATCGCCGTGTCAGAGGCTAAGGCACTTTCCCGCTCTGCAGGATTCAGACACGCGCCTGGACAACCACAGCTCCCCCTCTGAGGCACTTGGGTTTACAAGTCCTGGATCTGGGCCCTGCTGGGGCCGACACAGCCACAGCGTTATCCCAATCTGAGCAGCAGCCCCCCCTTAGACAAACAGTCACCAGCCCCAACTCGCCTGGGGCATCCGACAGTCTAAGGTTCCCTGGGGGCATGGAGGGCCCCTTTTGTAATGCATCCTTGGGGATCCTCTGAATGCTTAACTGTGCAGATCTTCCTCCTCCTCCTCCTCCTCGTCCTTCTGGCTCCAGGTGTCTGGCACAACTTGCTCCATCCCCTGCTCCCCAGAGGGGTTTGTGCAGGAATCCTCGGAGGCAGCACCACCGCTCGCTAGCCAGGGGTGGAGCAAAATCTCCCGGGCCGTCAGTCTCTCAGCCGGGGTCTTGCGCAGGAGGCATCGGATGAGGCACCTGGCCTTGGGGGAGAGGCCATCCGGGATGGAGAAGACGCCCCGGCGGATCTTGCTGAAGAGCATGGCGGGCTCAGTGTCCTGGAAGGGGTATCGCCCCACCAGCATGGTGTAGAGCACCACGCCCAGGCTCCACACGTCAGCCGCCTTCCCTGAGTAAGAGTTCTTGGAGCTGAGGATCTCCGGGCCCACGTAGGCCGGGCAGCCGTGCTTGTCCGACAGAGAGTCATCCGGGCCGCTCAGAAGACAGGCGTCCTCCAGGTTCTCCAGCACCAGCTTTGTGCTGCAGAGAAAGAGGGAAAACGCCAGTAAATCAGCCTGTCGACCGCTGGGCAGTCCAACCGTGCTAGGGAGGTAGGCCACAGAGCCAGACCCCGGGAGTCCTGCCTCCCAGCACGAGACAATGGTACCGCCCCAGAAAACTAGGTGGGAACGAACTTCTTCAGTGACCAAGACAAGGATTGGAGGGAGATGCCACCGGAGGAGGCTTTAGCGCGAAGCCCTGGCGGCTCTGGAAGGATACAAAGGTCTGAATTCCCCGCGGCACAAGCAGACCTCTGCGGAGCTATGCAAGGAACAGGGCCCAGAGCGAAAGCTGCAGCCAGAACGACCCTGAGCTATACTCTAGGGGTCTGCTCGCTCACTGCCATGCCGCTGTGACCAGGGGCCCCGGGGACACAAAACATGAGGCCCCAGGAGCATCTGCAACATGCAGGGGGCCTGTGGGCTCAGCCTGGGTGGAGAAACAGGTTTCGAATGGAAGTGAGGCTCCCGCTACGCCCAGGAACCCCTCCCTCCACTAGCCCTATAAGCTGCTGTCTCTCCCTTCCCCCGGCTTTCCTGGGGTCAGACAGCCTGCGTCCCAGCAAGGCTGTTGCAGCCGCACGCAGGGAGAGCTCATTCCAGAGCCTCGGCTGGGCTCTGCACAACGATCGTATGGACGAGGAAAATGGCCCTGGGCTCCCAGGCACTGGACCCCGGAGTCCTGCTCCCCATCCAGCCCGCTGTGGGGCCCCTGATGCTGAAGGGTTCAGCTGGACGCCAGCCCTCACCTCTCCCTGTCCACGAAGAGGAACTTGCGGAGTTTGAGGTCTCGGAGGATGACCCCGTGGTCGTGGCAGTGGGCGACCGCCTCGGCCATCTGTCGGAAGAGCCCAGCGGCCTCTCTCTCGGGCAGGCGCTTGCACCGGCGGACGTGGCTGTGCATGTCACCTCCGCCGGGCTGGAAGAAGACGTAGACGTTCTGGTCCCCTTGGATCACCTCAGCGACCTGGGCCACATTGGGGTGGGGTGAGAGGTGCCCGTAAGGGGCTATCGTCTCTGGGTAACTCCTTGCCGGATAAACCTAAAAGAGAAACGACACTGGGCATGAGGAAAAGCAGCCCGGAAAGAAAGGCGGGGGGCTGGTGCGGTCCGGGCCGTGCACAGGCCTCAGGGCAATCGTTCCCTCTTGTCTACAGTCCTGCTGCCGCAAGGGATCTAGGGCTCTGTCTAAGTGGGGGCAGGGGGTCTCCGAGCTGCAGTATGGTACCTCACTCTCGTGTGCCATGCTGTCCAAGGGTTCTTAAATTTCACAATGTAGCCACCAGGGGACAGCACTGCTTAGGAGGAATGTGAGACGCAAGGAGAGGGGA